ATAACATCTATCTATCTATCTATCTATCTATCTATCTAGATATAGTTGTTGTTGTCAAGTGCTGTCAAATTGATTCTGACTCATAGCAACCCTGCATAGGGTTTCCAAGGAGCAGCTGGTGAGCTTGAACCACTGACCTTGCAGTTCAAATGGCTTTGCAGTCTGGCACATTAACCCACAGCGCCACACCAGGACTCCCAACAATGTCTTTGTAATCTCTAGGGATTTGAAGATAAATGCCATCCACTCGGTTCTGATTTATAGCAACCCTGTATAGGGTTTCGGAGGAGCGGCTGATGAGTTTGAACTCCTGCCCTTGCAGTTAAACCGACCTTGCTATTCAAACTGACCTTGTGGCCCAGTGCTTATCCTACAGCGCCACACCAGGTCTCCAAAGGGTGGAACAGTTCAGAAGGTGGACAGGATTTACCAACAACAACAAAGTGCCATAAATCAGAATAGACTTGATGGCAACTAACAACAAACAAATCTCACTGATCCCGACATCTTCTACTTTCTGAAGTTCTCTTTTTCTGTGGCCTTGTACACCGTCTTACACACAATTCCCTAAGGTGAGAGAAGCTACTCTCAACTAGAGAGTGAGCAAAGCAATGCCTATAAAAAGTAAAGGTCCTCGCCTATGAGACATAACCCGACCTCTAAATTCACACGTTTAGGTTAGGTTACATCAGTTGACTATCTACAGTCATGTCTCCCTGACTCTCCTCATGGTGGAATTTATGCAGGAACATGAAGAATCAGGAACTGCTATGGTTCCTCTACCCTAAACAATTAATTCCTGTGTCTGGTAGATTTTGACGAATCATTCCATTGGAATGGGAACAATCTAGATTCCAAATACCCTAAGAATACTGGTTTAATCATTTTTCTTTGAAGTTACATCTTTATTTTCTACCCATGCCTTTACCTTTGCTATCCCCTCTTCTTGGGGTGTCTGCTCCCTTTGTCCACCTAGATAAATCCTAGACAAAACAAACACCTGACTTTAGAACTGGAAGACATATCCTAGCTCTGTAATAGCCATATGACATAAATAAATTCTTTATTATCTTTGTATCTGACTTCCACTTTAAAAAATTATGCTAATAATTTCCTTCTGCCAATATACCAGAATTACTTAAAAAGTTCAAAGGAGGTGGTACCTCTTTGTGGATGAGCAAGGACTATTCAAATATAAAAGGGAAAAAAATTCACTTCAAATGTTTATACCTTGTCATTTCAACTAAATAAATAGGTCCCAGAGAGTCAGATAGCCTTTGAACTCCTATTCAGCACCTAACACTTTCCTCCATCATACATAGCAGGTATTTGATTCTCCTTAAGGTCTTCCCTTGTTAGGAAGCTATCTCTGTGGATTCGGAAGGAAATTTCAAGACCAAAGGAGCAGAGTGAACTTAAGATATTGGAAATAAAGGGGCTTTCTATTCCCATAAAGATTTGCAGCTTTGGAAAGCCTACACAGTCATGATGAGTTACAAGAGACTTGATGGTACACCACCACCACCACTACCAAGTAAGGACAACTTTATCAATTTTTCCTACTGACGTGAGTTGTGTGTTGCTGTGATGCTGGAAGATATGCCAATGATGTTTCAAATACCAGCAGGGCCACCCATGGTAGACAGGTTTCAGAAGAGTTTACAGACTAGGAACAGATTAGAAAGGAGGAATAGGTGGTCCATTTCTGGATTAGTGTCTGAAAACCTTATAAATAACAGTACAACATTGTCAGATATAGTGCCTGAAGATGAGCCCCTCCGGTTGGAAGGAACTCAAAATACGACTGAGGAAGAACTGCCTTCTCAAATAGAGTTAACTTAAATGATGTGGGTGGAGCAAAGCTTTGGGGAATTTCATTTGCTGATAGGGACATGACTTAAAATGAGAAGAAATCACTGCAAATATTTATTAATAACCAGAATGTGGAATGTACAAAATATTTTGTTGTTGTTAGGTGCTATTGAGTCGGTACCGACTCATAGCGACCCTATACACACAAGAACGAAACCCTTCCCAGTCCTGGGCCAACCTCACAATCATTACTACACCTGAGCCCATTGCCCCTGCCACTGTGCCAATTAATATCATTGGGGGTCTTCCTCTTTTTCTCCCACCCTCCACTTTGACAAACATGATATCCTCCTCCTGGGACTGGTCCTTCCTGATAATACGTCTGAAGTATATTAGAAACATTCTGGCTGTGCTTCTCCCAACATATATCGGCTTGCTATTTTGTTAGTCCACAGTACTTTTAATATTCTCTTCCAATACCTTAACTCAAATGCATCACTTCTTCCATGGTCTTCCATGTTCAATGACAACTTTCACATGCATATCAAGTTATTGAAAATGCCATGGCTTGGATAAAGCTCACCTTAGTCCTCAAACTGACATGGGAAAGTTGCACAATGAATAAAGAAGACATAGAAGAATTGATGTATTTGAGTTATGGTGTTGGAGTAAAATACTGAAAATACCATGGACTGCAAGGACAAAAATCTGTATTAGAAGAAATACAGCCAGAATGCTCCTTAGAAGCCAGGATGGTGACATTTCGTCTGTCATATTTTGGACATATTACCAGGAAGGGCTAGTCCCTGAAGAGGACATCATGCTTGGTAAAGTGGAGGGTCAGCGAAAAGAGGAAAACCCCCAATGAAATGGATTGGCACAATGGCAGCAGCAATGGGTTCAAGTGTAACAACAATTTTGAGACTAGCCTATGTCCAGGCAGTATTTTGTTCTGTGGTGTAAAGCAGTGCTATCGATTGAAACCAATTTAACAGCATCTAACAACAACAGGAGCTCTGGTAGCATAGTGGTTACAAGTCAGGCTGTGAACCTCAAGGTCAGCAGTTCAAAAATACCAGCTGTTCTCAGGAGAAATATGAGGCTTTCTGCTCCTGTAATGATTTATCAATAACAACAGCAACTATTGACAAAATATTGGACAGTACAAGAATCAGAGCTTCTCATGAATTGGATTAGTCCAAGGGAAAAGATTAAACATGAGTATTTTTAAAAGGTTTATGTGTTTGACTTCCTTACGGATATTGGTTTCTCCTAAAGTAGCGTAGTGGTTACAAATCGGGCTGCGAACTTCAAGGTCAGTAGTTCAAAACTACCAGCTGTTCCCGCAGGAAAAAGATGAAGCTTTCTGCTCCCATAAAGATATACAGCCTCAGAAACCCTGTACAGGGTCCGCTATGCGTCAAAATCGACTCAACAGCACTTAACAACAACAAGCTATTATTGTAAAATAGACATATATGTGTGATATAAAAGAATATTGGGTGTGATAATCAGAGCTTGTAAACCCACCTTTAGCCTATACTTGATTGGATTTGCTAAAAGGGAGTTAGAATTTGCCTGGGAAAAATAGGCTTCTTACTTTAAGCCTTTGTAGAGAAAAGGGCCTTAGGTGAAATCTTGAGCCCCACCCAGAACTTTCTGAGTTGGTACATTTGCATTTGAAAAAACATGCAGACCAACTCCAAATTGCTTGGAGAACCAAAGATTCAAGTAAAGACAAAAAGCAGACAGTTGGCGTTTTTTTTGTTGTTTTGTTTTGTTTTTCAGTTTCTGAGGCCAAAAGGCAAGGAAAGTCAACCAATCAGAGAAACCCTCCCCTCACACCCCACCCCACCCTGGCCTTCAGTAGCACTGAGAGTTAACTGGGAACTGGTGAGCTGTGGGCTTGTTGGTGACCACCTGGATCTAGCTGTGAGTGGACTTGGGGAAAATGCAGCAATGAAGACACAGGCTGAGTTTGGACACATTCTATTGGTACCCATTGGCCTTTAAATAAGAGAGGAGGAAAGCTGTCTTGTCTGAAGTTTAGGGAACTGTGGGAATTCTTGAGTCCATGGGCATTGACATAGCCCAAGAGGGATTGGGCTGAGAATGAAGTGGCCAGCTGGTATGAAGTGCAGGGAGATGTATGTGAACTCGAAAATTGCAGCTGGTACCCATTTGACCTAGTTTGGATGGTTAGGGTTGAATTATGACCAGAACCTAATTAGATGAAGATAAAGATGTTTGATACTATAAGCAAGTGTCGATTGTTACAATTTGATAAACTGGACTTTTGCTTATGGACGAAGTGGCTCAAAATTCCAGGCGGAATGGAAAATTCTTCAGATAAAGGAGCATGCTTGTCTCCTCAATGTACTAGGCAAATTGTTGTTGTTTACTGCCTTAATGTTGGTTCCGAATCATAGTGAGCCTGTATAGGGCTTCTGGTGGATCCGAAAGGAGCTACTGATGGATTCAAACTGCTGACTCTGAAGTTCAAACCAAACTTGTGGTCCAGTGTTGGGAAAGCAATTTAGACACTGGCTATCGAAAATGGG